GAGCCTCACGCCCAGGTGGTCCACTTGACCGTTCACGAAGTACTTGTGGAAGACACGATCCAGAATGTGTCCAGTGACCAGGGGTTTGTTGGCGAGGTTATTGGGTAGCGCCAATGCCGAGTGCGTTCGTCATAGTTGAGCTTGCAAGATACCGTGTTCATTCCCTTAGGGGACTTCGCGTGCAGACGTGAATGACGGAAAGGTTCGCTCATCTGGCCACGTTGCAGAGGTTGTGGACGCGAGTGGCCGAGGTTGCACCCAAATTTGACGTGAAGTTTGTTGCTTCTTTCTCCTACGGTCATACTGGAGTTTTTGTTCAACGGTGGCTCCAGTGTATCACGTAGGTCGTGATTCCCGCGTTGAAGGTTGCTTGGTCAGGCCCGGCTCCTACCGCGCCAAGCGCAGCCAGGTAGGGGGAGAGCACCCGTTGGAGCTTGCGTTGGAGCGCGTTAGCGCTAATGCGGCGCGGCCCGTTAGCAGCGCATTGCTAGTGGAAACGTTGACCTCCCTGCAGACCAACGTGCAACAGGCGCGGAACCATTGGACCAAAGGGGCGATGGCAGCTTGTCGCGCAGGATCAGCGTGGGTCATCTCAGGGGTGAGAACTTCCGCGTGGAACTGGGGAAGACTGTACTGCCCCTCAGGACGGGCCGCGAGACAGCTTCAGAAAGATAGGACGGAAGAGGCATCATGCGACGGACGCGGAAGACATCGTGTGGGAACCACACCACCGCCCGCCGTGGGGACCACGTAGAGTGACAGGAGCAGGACGGCAGCAAACATGGTTCCTCCATCAATAATTGTCATGTGTGGCAGGTGATGTCTGCCGTGTGCTCAAAGGCAGGCATGGGGAGGACCACCGTGATTGCGCTTCCAAGTCGTTCCCCACTCCTACCACGATAGCGTAGAGATTGTCATAAGGAGTGGCTTGGCTCGGATTCACGGGGTAAGCGTAGAGTGAGTGTCCAATGTAGATATTCGTTTCATCATTTTGGAGGACGAAGCCAAAGGTAACCGGTGAACGAAGGCAAAATTGGCTCATGGCGCAAGAGGCAACATCACGATTTGCGTTCGAGGCGCCACCCACAGCAGTGAGGACATCAGCGTAGTTAGGAGCATGTACTTCCCATGCCGCTGCACGAGAGACGAGATCCGAAAAATTAGAGCTGGCCATGGTGAGGGTCGAAAAGATACAAAACCTGATGCCGGCGCAAGAGATTAATCTAATCTAGGTTCTTGCTTTCAGCATCAGCTGAATGAAGAATTGTGAGCTGAGAGAGAGACAACCTTCTTGTGATCGACAGTTCAATGGCTGATCTTCGCTAGGTCGCTAGCTTTAGTGATTCATGGTTGCCGCTGTCGATCTTGCCAAATGTGGTCTTGGACGGGCGTCATTGCCTTAAGGGTAATCCTGTTCGAGAGGCATTGAGGAGCTGATGTGGTGCATCATCATGTGGGGTATCCAATTCCGGAACGCAGGTGATGACCTGCGAGATGTAGAGATGTACTTGAGTTGTAGGTGAGGAGCGTGGGAATTAATTCTGCAAATTGTGAGATGGTCCTCTCGACAACTATGATTAGGGTCATAGTTGCGAGAACCCATCAGGGTTCAAGTTTCCATGCTGCGGGGCGTGGAAACTCGGACGGGGCGTTCCCCAGGCGTGCTGCTGCTCGACACGGGACTACAATGACTCGAAATAAGTACCCGGTCATGAACTGATTCAGTGGATGTCCGTGCCAGATTCGATTTGCCACCAAAGGAACCAAAATGCCCAAGGGAAGGATCACAGTAGGTGACAATAAGGCAGTTGTTGACTTGCTCAAACCATACTCGACCGCCTTGAGAAACTTTACGTTGTCGCTGAGTGCCGTGGGCAGACGATATGTCAGGAGAATGAGGAACAAGAGCCTCAAAGATGGCAGCTGACAGACTGCCCAAAGCCTGTGATATGTCTCCTTTAACCCGATCTGTGCTGCATCCAACTCAGCATCGTCGTCATCGTCGTCTTTTCCGAGTTTGTCAGAAGCGAGCAAGGCTTCTTTGGATTTGGGTATTCCCCACTCGGGTTCATTGTTGCTGCTTTCTTCCGTCTCGTGTTTGAACAATGCCACCAGCAGCGTCGTCATGAGCATAAAGAACCTCATGAAGCGTACGAATGCACCTAGGCTCAGCAATCCCGTATCAGGTTGGCTTGCAAGCCCCAAGAGAGGACGCCATATATTTTCACTCGCTTCGGCATCATTAAGTGCCAAGAAGCCGACAAAACTCTTAAAAAGTATTCAATGTTTTGTCCGATGGAGTTGCATACGGGGTCACGCCCCCTATTCTTTTTGGACAGCATGGTCAATGCCCAGCTTGTTGTGGCAGTTTTGGTTTTGTGGTCTTGGTTCCCTGGCGTAGTTGGTCCATGTGTCCTTTCGTAGTTGCCTTGGATTGGGGTGGGTATTTGCGGAGGGTTTTTGTGTTGAGGCCTGGGAAACCGGTGACATAGCTAGTGTTTGTTGACTGCTGTTTGGAGCGTTGAGAGTGCTGGGTGGCCCATAGTAGCGTGACTGAAGGCTACTTGTTGGGCTTTGGTGGGATCAAAGTGTGCTGCGTTGGCGAAGTAGTGGGTCGGTTTGATGGTGACCGAGGCAGCTTGTTGAATTAGATCTGTCGGTGGGAAACCAGGTGGGCTGTTTATCATGGGGATGTGCCATAGGCCAGTCTGGGGTGTTTGGTAGCCCGTGATAATGCATTGTGTGTTGTAATGGACCTTGACCGTGGTGTTGGTGAAGGTGGCTGTGCATCCACTATCACAGAGCTGTCCTACTAGCGAGATGAGAGATCCTGAGCCATGTTTGAGTTCTTTGAATATGTGAGCTCTACATGCTGCAGGTGGTAGGTGTGGTATGGTGATATCTCCTTCATGAGTGGATGTCATGGTGGCTCCCTGTGCTACTACAACTGTGATTGGATTAGTAGTGGTGCATTGGTTGTGACAACTAGCATTCCACATTAGAAAATGAGACGTGGCTGCACTATTTAAGGGACCGTAATTGGTGTTTATTATTGGTGGTGGGGGAGGACCTAATGAGTCGTTATGGTTTTTGTTTAACATGTTTCTAATTATTTGATTAGATTGACTGGTGGTGTTACGCTTCCCGCTGAATCAGTTTCCGCGGCGGGGCTGGTATCTTTCGTTGCTTCCTCCCATTTTGTTTTGAGCGGTGGCCTGTAGGTTATGGCTCTCCTTTGGGAAGTTGCAAGTATCGCTGTTGTGGGCTGGGTTAAAGCAGTAACCGTGAGTCCAGCACCATCCCATAGCATCAAGTTCGGCTGCCGTGAGACCAACGATCAAGGTGTTGGCTCGGGTAGAGGAGCGTCGGTTGGGGCGATCGGTTGTGGTGGTTGTGGTGGTTGTGGTTGCATTGGCTGCATGGGACTCTCGAAGGGACTCTTGAACAATCCCGGTGATCGTGGCTATGTCGATCAGCTGTGGATGGGTGAGAGTGGAAGTCCCGGTGGTAACTGTGTGAGTGTCCGTGATAGTTGCGTTGGCTCGTTGGTGGTAGCCTGCGGCGCTGACAGTGGTTTCGGTTTGGCGGACATCTTCGGCATCACGAAAGAATTCTTTGAAGTGGGCTAGGGTGCGTTCTCCTGGTGCACGCTTGTTCCATTCTCGGATGGGATGAATGAAAAGGCCTGTGGCGTGTAGAGTGGCTAGCTACTCCCACATTGACAGCGTTGCGGTCGCTAATGACATCGCCGCCTTCTACTGAGAAAGCGATGCAGGTGTCGATATTATCGAAGAGTTCCTCAATATCTGTGGGTGGAGTCCAATGCTGGGTGAGGAGTTCACCATTGGCAAGGAGATCATTCTCTGTGATTTTACCGTATGTGGTCACCAGGTGGGTGATGATGTCAAATGGGCTGGTGTTGCCATATCCCCACATGCGATCTTTGAGGGCCTTTGTGTAAGTATCGTTAATGGCGTCCAAGATCTGCTGGAGGATCTGGGCCTCTGTTTTGTGGTATAATTTCCATGCGTCCAGTGCATTTTTGTAGGTTTGGTCGTGGCGGTACATGAGGGCTTGGGTGGCATTGGCAGCATGTACGGGTTTGACTGGTTTGATCGGGACGACGAATGCAACGTTGCCTTAGGATGCTACAGTTTAGGCTACCTGGCCAAGAATGATGTAGGTGTGGCCTAATCTGCCATCACCTTCCTCACTGGAGATAGCTCTGGTGTTTGCGAGAACCTGAGAGATGAGGAGGGATAGCTTCCTTTGGTCAGGTTTGCCAATGATTGGTGTGAGGATAGGGTGTGGCATTGCCTCAGTTGGTGTAGTGTTGGTCATGGTAGGAGAGGGTAGAATTGGATTTGAAGTTGGGCGACACGGGTATATTTAGTTCCCTTTGTCGGACGTTTAAGGCCTGTGTGTCTATGTGGTGTATATGTGGGTAGTGGTATTGTAGGTTGGTGTTGGTGTTTGTTGTGTTGGTGTTGGCTGTATTGTTGTGTTGGTGTTGGCTGGATAGTATCGGTAGCGGGGCGTTCGTCGAGCGATGGAGGTGCGTCGTTTCGTTCGAGGATTCGAGGATAGAGGTGCGTTCGTTGAGCGATCGATAGAGGTGCGTCATTTCGTTCGAGGATTCGAGGGTAGAGGTGCTTTCGATCGGTATAGCGGATCGGTAGAGGTGCGTCGTTTTGTTCGAGGATTCGAGGATAGAAGTGCTTTCGTCGAGCGATCGATAGAGGTGCGTTCGTCGAACGATCGGTGGTAGCGGTAGCGGTGCCTCGATCGGTGTAGCGGATCGGTGGCAGTGGTAGCGGTAGTGGTTGTATAGAAGGATCTTATAACATCTGTTGAAGAGACTAAAGCTAGCGAGATGTAATACGAATGATGTTATATGATTATGAGGAAAAGCTACTTTGTTGTCTCTGGATATCTGTAATTGAGTGGAGGCTAGATTCCGGTTGACGGTCAGACGGCCGGAATCAGCAAAATGAACTGATGCGCAATCTCTGACGGTAGCTACAGGTAGCTAGTAGCCCACAGGACCTGGCTTCTTGCCTTGCTTCAACTGCGCACTGAAAGGACTAGCGCATGTTGCTGGAGACGTCCGATTTGGCAAGTATTAACTTAGCTTGTATTCAGGGCTAGGGAGCTGCGTTGGGCCATCCAAGGCTCACTAGCTACAATGCACTTCATTAGCCTCTTGCTTTTAGCTGTGCAGGGCCGTGCCGGTAATGCTGGACCCACCTACACATTCACGAAAATTCAAAAATTGCTGCACAATATTGTCAACAGTATTTGCCCCCGACTGTATGAGCGGTAGGAACAGAGGGACTTGCTATTAACAATCAGTTTCCTTGCATTCTGACTGTCACTCCATGCACCTCTCGGTCGCTACTCGTGCTTCGCAAAACGCTTCCGTAGCCCGTCTTGTCTGGGCGATTCAACATCTTCTCCACTTTGACTGTCATCATCCAGCAGGTGCGTTCTCCAAGCGTCATCTGGGAGCTTGGCAAGGCCATAGACACGTTGTTGAAAGAAGAAAATCCAAAGGAGGCCAAGCAGAGTGGAGCCAACTTGCATCCCAACGTAAGGATCTCTGTTTCTGCCAACACAAATGTTGCTCTTAGTTTTCTTGTCAAAGTGACAATGCTCCTCTTCGGTCAAGACTCCAACAAGCCACATGACAAAGGAAGAAGGCCAAGTTCCTCCCAAGTTGGCTGCCGTGTTCAGGAGAGTCATGTACGACCCTCCAATTGCTGGATCGGCTCGGCTTGCGAAGAATGTCATTTGAGCATTGAATTGCAGACTGCTGGCAATGGCCTGACCCGCTGTGGAAGACACCACTGCAAGCCAGAAGCTCAGACGTTCGTACATTGTATGAGACTTTCCTCGTTTCACAACTCCAAGCATGGCCAAGTCCATGATTGGGACTACAATGACTCGAAATAAGTACCCGGTCATGAACTGATTCAGTGGATGTCCGTGCCAGATTCGATTTGCCACCAAAGGAACCAAAATGCCCAAGGGAAGGATCACAGTAGGTGACAATAAGGCAGTTGTTGACTTGCTCAAACCATACTCGACCGCCTTGAGAAACTTTACGTTGTCGCTGAGTGCCGTGGGCAGACGATATGTCAGGAGAATGAGGAACAAGAGCCTCACAGATGGCAGCTGACAGACTGCCCAAAGCCTGTGATATGTCTCCTTTAACCCGATCTGTGCTGCATCCAACTCAGCATCGTCGTCATCGTCGTCTTTTCCGAGTTTGTCGGAAGCGAGCAAGGCTTCTTTGGATTTGGGTATTCCCGACTCGGGTTCATTGTTGCTGCTTTCTTCCGTCTCGTGTTTGAACAACGCCACCAGCAGCGTCGTCGTGAGCATAAAGAACCCCATGAAGCGTACGAATGCACCTAGGCTCACCAATCCGGTATCAGGTTGGCTTGCAAGCCCCAAGAGAGGACGCCATATATTTTCACTCGCTTCGGCATCATTAAGTGCCAAGAAGCCGACAAAACTCAAAAAGTATCCAATGTTTTGTCCGATGGAGTTGCATACGGGGCCACGCCCCCTATTCTTTTTGGACAGCATGGTCAATGCCCAGCCATCGACGGCAATATCTTGGGTAGCCATGAGGAAGTAGAGGAGGAAAAAGAATGCCGTGACACCGCTGACATTCATGGTCCCTTCCTCGGTTTGTGATCCTGTAGCAGCTGACATTCTTCTGCGGGCTTTCCAACCACGACGCTCTGCAGTGTCATCCGCTGACGATAGACTTTCTAGACCCAGTTGTTGCTCCACAAAATCGGCCCCCAAGACCATGACCAATCCTGACAAGAACTGCACCGGCACGAGCCACGTTTTTCGTCTCCCAAAGCTCTTGAAATAAAGGGAATCCACAATGGGTGCCCATAGCATTTTGAGTGAAAAAGGCCAACTGCAGAGTGCAAAAATGGCATTGGCGTTATAAGAGAGTTTTGCGGCATGAGCTGCTGCAGCTCCCGCTTCCGCCGTCCCAGCCTCACCTGCAGCCGAAGCTGCCATGGCAGCCATTGTCTTTAACTTTTGCTGGATGAGAAAGGGAATAGAGGCACTCAATCCCATGGGAATACCTTGCAGGGTATATAGAACGATCAGCAGAGCGTAGTTCCAGCGATCATTGGGTTCTGTCGATGGGATGCTGAGGACATCGGTTTCGTTGTTCATATTATTCATGGCTCCACCGACAGGATTTGGAAAAGACACTCCCCCATCGTCGCTTTGCTCTCCAACGGCGAAGCTGCTTGCACGGACAACCATGGCATTCTGTCGGCGTTTCATGCCTTCTCTCTCTCTCTCTCTCTACGTACTAGCTAGCAAAGCAACACAACTAGTACAATTCACCATCCAATCAATAACCGGTTCGAGGATTCTCCACTATACCGTAACGAAGTTTCGAAAACTCATTGGCACCATGGTCGCGATCTTCGTCATTCGCTCCGGCATCTGCTGTTTCCAGTGACGAAAGTGACTCATATTTCTTACACCCCGTGCGGGAAAATGACTCCCTCTCCGACCCGAGAAGTCAAAATCTTGCTTGCGTCAAGCAAGCGTCAAAACCACCACGCTGCATCGTTTCTTGTTTCCCACCGAATGAATCGACCATGTCCAAGAGGAAAGCGGGAAAAGCAAAGGGGAGACCAAAGGAGTCCCCTGACGATGGTCCCTTTGTACCCATCAGACATTATTACCATTCGCACAACTTTCTCAAGATCAAGGACAAGGAGTGGGAACACAGCAGTGATAGCGATGACGAGGAACAATCATGGGATCGCGCGGTGGCAGAATCGGTAAGCAAAAAGCTGCCTTGGATGGAGATCGCAACGACCGGAACCTGCCGACAGTTTGTAGGCTAACCAATTCACTTACTCCATGTGCATACGTACCATACCGCTCCATACGACAGGAGATCAACGACTTTACAGATCTGTCAGAAGGAGAAAAGCAACTACTGATTCTGTGGAACAACTATATCAAATCAGATACCAAAATTGCTAACAAGAAGATTCCTCAACATTGTGTCAACTTTATAAAGAGCCACGCCAAAACGATTCGAGACAGGGGGATTGATGAACAATTGCAATGGCATCTGGTGACTCTCTGGGATGAGGGGTTGATATCCAGTGATCACCTGTCTTCCTGCCTCGATTACTACTATAGTCTTGTGGGGCCTCCGCATGAACCAAAGATGGGTTCCACAAGTAGCCAAGCCATTGTGCTAGATGATGACTGATTCAATAATAAGTTGATGCAGTTAAATGTGCATGATACGGCATTTGCGTGTTGGGGTGACGCAGGAGACACACCAACATGTGCATGATACGGCATTTGCGTGTTGGGGTGATGCAGGAGACACAACATGTTGGTGTATGATTGTGCTATGTAAGCTACTGCAGCTCCTTCATGACTGTGAATAGAAAAGTCTGTGTAGCAAGACCTGTCTTACAATAATAATCAGAGGAAATTTCCTTGCTGGATAGATCCTGATTCTCACCATCAGGAGCTACCAGCCTACACCAAGTGTCTAGAAAGAAAGTTGCCACTCAGCCTATGCATAGCTGCATCTATTCATCAGCTTCTTTTGGTAGCTCGACATCCCGAAGGATAGGCTCATTCAAGTAACACACCATTCATAGCTCAGCATTATTAATAGCAGATGCACATCCCCTTTATCATAGGTGAGATGGATATTGTTGCTGGGGTTTGTTCTTGTATTGTCTTTGGATACCGCAACGGCTCAAGATGCTTGAACTATATTTTGATTCATATGCCCCCTGGGTCGTCTCCGTTTCCAGTACTAGTTTAACTTGTCTACTAATACAGGATAATGGTGAATAGAATCGAATGAATCATGTGGCTTATATTTAGGGTTTAGGTTTTGCAATTTGAAGTCAACGTGTGTTAAGTGGAGGGTTGGCTCGCTTCCGCTGGGAGCTTGGTGTCTTCTTTTTCCTCTGTTTCCCGCTCTTCGTCGGAACTAGGGTATTCGGTAATAGGATCGTGATCAATTTCGGCAGCTTTCTTCATTCCTTGTGGTGTGTCATCATTCTGACTAATCGCAGGTGATACTTTGGCCGACGTGGTTCGTGGAACAGGTTGGACGGGAGATGACGTATTTGTTTGCATTGGAACTGGGAATGGTTTGCTAATAATATTGGGAGGTCCATTATTGAGGATTTGAAAGTGGGGGCACGGGGGATTTATAAGGGAAGCTACTGTAGGAGACTACCACCCTGTCTCCTGTTGGTGCTTTTCCAGAAGATTTCCCAAGAAGGCCTCAAAGTTAATGCCGGGGGGTAGTTCAAAACCATTGGGAAGGGCCAGTGTGGCAGCTTGAAGGCGAACTGGTGGAGTAGAGGTGGGGGCGGGGGATGGGGTGTGCGTGCGTAGTGGCTTGTAATAATGTTGCGACGGGAACCAGTGATGGCCCGCATGCGACCGAAGTCCGATGCACCCAAGGTTGTTTCGGTGAAATCAACGGACGTTAGACGTGAAGCCGGGAGTTGACCATGAGGCCAAATAGAGTACACATGGCCCTTGTCGTCCTTGAGGAATTCGGATACAGTTCGGTATTCGCCTTGATCGATCCAAGAATCCGTCACAAGGTAAGTCATGATGTCGGAGTGGGTGAGCAGCTCACTCCAGGTGTCATGGACCTTGTACCACTTGTCCTGTTCGTGGAGAACTAGGTAGGGTTCACCCTTCTTTGCCGGGTCGTACACGTATTGCATGTAGCCCGGTTTAAAGGTTTCATTGAACCACTTCAAGGCCATTCCTGGGGTTGGGATCTGGGGTAAAAACGTTCACGCAGTTGGTTCGTCAACTCACCTCATGGGGCAACATAGATAACAAGCCTGCTTGGTCATAAGAAGT